AAGCATGGAAACTCCTCGACATACAAGACAAAAACACCGTGGCCTCACGTGATGTGATTTTCTACGAGCGACTGACGCTGCAGCATTACTTGGACAATGTCGCCAACACAGAAGACCCCACCGACGGCTTCCAAGGCCTTCGCTCCTTTGCCGATCGTGCTGCCGAAGCTGACGCAGCAGAAGAAGATGTATCTGAAGCCTCGGAAACTGCCGGACCACTCCCTTACTGCTCCGTACCTGTTCCCCACGACGACGACAATCCTCTCGATAGTAACAACCTCGACACCTATTACTACTTCGCTGACCAAGGTTACGTTACACCTCAACCAGTCGACACGAATGTCTCAGAACGCATCGGACCAAATTTCTTACCTGACCCAGAAGATGGTGACGAAGTAGCCTATCCCGGGAATGAAAATTCCCCTCGACACACACCCACGGGCCTGCAGATCCTTGGACTATGGGTCGCCGTCAAGAGCCCGCCGCCGCCGTCTCCGCGCGAGCCAACGACTCTGTCGCAGGCTCTGGGGGGGGAACACAAGGCAAAATGGAAGGAAGCAATGGAAAAAGAATTGAAGGCCCTGCAAGACCGAAACACGTGGAAGCTGGTACTTGCAACAAAAACCAACGGAAAAAACGTGCTCTCGGGAAAGTGGGTGTACCGCATGAAGACCAATGCGGACAGCTCCATCGAATGATTCAAGGCTCGCTGGGTCGTACGAGGATTCGATCAGCGATACGGAACCGACTACACAGAAACATTCGCCCCAGTCTCCCGCCACACCTCCTTGCGCATCCTACTCGCCGTCGCAGCCACGAAGAAGCTACCACTATGCCAGATCGATGTCGCAAACGCCTTCCTGTACGCACCTGTGGACGCCGAGATCTTCGTCGAGCAGGCCCACGTATTCATCGACGACCCCACAAAAGTGTGCCAGCTGATAAAATCCCTCTACGGGATCAAACAAGCCCCGCGGCTCTGGCAGCAGCATCTTCACGGCCGCCTCGTCAAGATCGGCTTCCTACAGCTGCCGCACGACCAAGGCATGTACCAACTACAGAAGGAAGGGGGTTTTGTCCTACTAATCATCTACGTCGACGACCTGCTCTACATCGGCTCCACTACCGATATCGCCACCTGGTTCAAAGGGGAGCTGAGGAGTGACTTGACACTCACGGTGTCTAACACCGTAACTCAGTACCAGGGCCTGAACGTCGTTGAAGACAACTCGGCATTCTACCTACATGCCGGAAAGTACGCAGGCGTTGTCGCGAAGAAATTCGGACTAACGCCGATCGTAGTCGCGACTCCCTATCGCTACGGGAACGACAACGGCGGAACTTCCGCAAAACTCCCCGCGAAGCAAATCCAGGAATATCAACAGAAACTTGGCTGTCTACTATTCGTAGCAGTAACCTGTCGACCGGACCTGTCCTACAGTGCGAGCCAACTAGCAACACACCTGAAGCAGCCGAAGGAAGAGGATCTCGAAGATTTAAATCGGGCACTACTCTACATCGTCTCTACGCCAATGACCGGACTTACCTACAGCAAGGTAACACTGTCGTCCGTACGACTACTCGGCTATGTCGATGCCGATCATGCGGGAGATAGGGAAAATCGACGCTCCAGAACGGGCTACATTTACGGACTAGAACCTATTGGGACTATCTCCTAGCAATCGAGCAAGCAGGAATTTATCGCGCTATCTTCGGCTGAAGCGGAATATATCGCCCTCTGCACCGCGACCAAAGAAGGACTTTACCTGCGGGAGCTGCTCGATGAAGCGAAAATAGCAACCATGCCCGCCTTCTCGTTACTTTGCGACAACCAATCCGCAATCAAAATCGCGAACAAAGACGGTTTCGCCAATCGAACCAAGTACATCGCCTTGCGGTATTTCTTCGTCAAGGATGAGATTGCAAAGGGGAGACTTCAACTCAGTTACTGCCCCACGACAGAAATGGCCGCAGACTACCTGACAAAGAAACTGGCGAAGGCAAAGTTCGATTGCTGCATGCTGCTGACCGGGCAGTTAAACGTCACCAAATCTGGACACGTCAGCACTCCAGAAACGAAGGGGAGTGTTGGAAATACCTCAAGGACTTAAGTGTTTCTGAAGTGTAATACTACACTCGAGTAAAAGCCGTATCGGGTACGCGAGTCAACGGAGGTTACACGAGGAGGTTGGACGAAAGAACACGAAAGGACGAAAGACTCTAAGGGTCGCAATCGGAGGTTGCGACTGACCATTTCAACTGCAAGGGTGGTAACCGAACCAACTATCGAGTCGCTGTGCGACTCGATAACCGTTCCTACAACTGTATTCCACAATTGGTTTACCTTCCTGTTTTCTATATATTACTGTATGCTTGTTTTTCTTTTAATCAATCACTTGCTCTCACATACTAGTGCAAGGGTTCAACTACTCAACTTCCGCTGCACTACTCAAGTATCTTGTACAACCGGGACTTAGTCTCTGAAAAGATCCAAAGGGCTTTTCTCAGCCCAACACTTGGGAAGAAGGTGTTGTGGAGTCTGGAAGAGGAGACCAGCTGCATCAAGGACCTGTGGCAGCTGCCTTTCATCCCTTGGAATGGGAAGACTCCAGCGGCAGCAATTGGTGAACTTCCCTATGCTGCAGAAATTGGTGAAGCACAGGAGCCTGAAGGGCTTGGAGGTGAAGGGGGGAGTGAAGGAGGTTGGGAGCTGCCCTACAAGCTTGGAGACCAAGTTCTCCAAGTTCTCCTTCAACAGCACTACACGACCAGCCAAGACCCCACTTGCACTTGTGCACATGGATATGGTGGGGCCCACAAGAGCCCTTTCCCTCTCAGGGAGCTGCTGTCTCCTGACAATTATGGATGACCACACTCGAGCAATGTGGGTTTATCCTCTCAAGAGCAAGGGAGAGGTGGCAATGGCTGTACTTAAGGAGTGGATGCTTAGAACACAGAGGGAGTGGGAATACAAGGTGAAGGTGATCCGTAGTGACAGTGGTGGGGAGTTCATTGGAGCTAATTTTGAGGGGGAGTTGAAGAGGAAGGGAATCCAGCATCAACTGACAGTGCCCTACAACCCGCAGCAGAATGGCGTGGCAGAGAGGTTCAACAGGACCCTGCAGGAGGGGGCACGCACTCTCCTTGGGCGTGCAGGGTTGCCTGATCCGTTTTTGGTGTCTGCTCTGAGGCTGGTCGCCCTTGTGAAGAACAGGGTGCTGGCTACAGTTGGGGCGGATCTCCTATACCAAGTGGTATGGGAGTGCTCCAGCTGTGAACAAGCTGAGGGCGTTTGGGTGCATCGTGGTGTTTCATGTGTCTAAGGAGAAAGGGGGAAGTTGGAGGCTTCTGGAAGATGGGGTGTTCACTTGGGGATTGCAAAGAATCACAAGGGGTGGCTGCTGTGGAACTTGACCAACCAGAAGCTAACAATGCCAAGGGATGTGTGAAGTTTCTTGAGTCCTTGTACTACAAGGAATGGAAGCAGCAGCAGCAGCAGCAGAAGCTTCCATCTACACTGCTCATTGTGGAGGCAGATGAGGTGCAGCGGCCTTCAAGACAGCTGGAGGTTGCAGTGTCTGAGGAGGAGATGTCTGGGGTGACTTAGGAAGGGGGAGCAGCTGAGGTGGAGCAGCAGCAGCAGCAGAAGCATGAGTCTCCTCCTCGAGTTTCACACCCGCCTGAGCGTTCTAGGAGGGATGTGCGCCCCCCACTGAGGCTGACCTATGTGGCAAGAGTCAAGCCGAATGTGGTGCATGCTGGGAGTGTGGTTGAGCAGATTGAGGAAGATGAGATTGCATTGTGCTATTAGGCTGCAATTCCTCATCCCAAGGTGCTAACGCAAGCTTCATCTCAGTGAAAGCGGATGGCACCAGCATTGGGGGTTATGTGTGCTTGTTGGGAGGTGGTGCTGTGAGCTGGCACAGCAAGAAGCATAATGAGGTGGGATTGTCCTCATGTGAGACTGAGTACATGGCCTTACATCATGGGGCCAAGGAAGTGGTATGGCTGAGGCGGTTGATGGAGGAGTTGGGAGTTGGTCAGGAGGAGCTGACAGTTGTGTTCTGTGACAATGAGTCTGCAGTGAAGCTGGCTAAGAATGCTTGTCTGCATGGGCTGACAAAACACATAAGGCCTAAGTGGCATTGAGTGAGGAGACTCCTTGATAAGGAGGTGCGGCTGGATATAGTGAAGACCCATCAGGATGCAGCAGATACTTTCACTGAGCCTCTGGCAGAAGCGGATTATTGGAAGGGCATGAAGCTTGCTGGAATGAGTGTGCATCGAGTATGCATGCTTGAGATGTGGCATGATGGATGGTGGTTGGAAGCCAGAGGCGGCCATCACATGTGAAGTCATCATATGCTATCACATCATGTATGCCTCCCATCCCGTGTTTTCAACTGGCATGTGTGGTTTGAATGTGTGTAAGCATTTATGCGTGGTGTGTTATGGAGTTTGGGAATGTGTTTTGTGTTATTCTTTCTGAGAAGGTATTTGTCATGATGAGAAGATCTTTAGGACGCAACGAGAATCCTTTCAATCGGAGCAAGAACGTGAAAGCTATGAAGATTCGAAGTTCATGAGCTTGCATTACAATTGCCGCAGCTACAAAGTGAAGTTGTGGGGTGACTCAATAAGGAGTTGGGACCATTAGGGGCTGGGGAAATTCGTCACTCTACTATAGCAGCTGCAAAATTGGTTGGGAACAACCAAGCTACGATGGCAAGTGTGACCAACTTGATTGGATTGGTTGGGAAGGGACAAAGGTAAAAGTTGGGGTTCCTATAGGGAGCGAACTTTGTGCTTATGGAGTTTCCTTGGTTGGGGACTCTCTTGGAACCTTCCCTCTCATCCCTCTCTTCCCTTCCAAACTTTTTCTTGCTCCTATAATTCCTTGTGAGATTAATTGAACCTTGATTGAAGTTTGCGATTGATTTAAGTTCTTCTCTTACAGCATACCCCACTATGCGTTACAATTCATAGCGTTAAGAATACTTCATCAATCAACATGAGTCAAATTGGGAATAGTAGCCCAGATTAAGTGCTACAACATATCAGAGTTTCGCGACATTCCAACAGCTAGTTTTTCATGGACGTTGTCTCTTGTGGAGACGACTTTTCTGTCCAGAACTTGGGATTTATATTTTGAGTAATTCTAGCTCCCAAGTTCACCTAGGCTCCGTCCTTAATCCTATCATGAAGTCGTAGCGCCACACATAAGCGAACGAAAACGTGCACAAAAAGTCTGATATCTAGGCTGATATCTAGGGATCTGGTATCTAGGCTGATATTTAGGCTGATATCTAGGCTGATATCTAGTAAGTTATACACGCCACACATGAGCATAAAAAGGCTGATACCTAGGGATCTGGTACTCGCTGCACTCCTCGCCATGCCGCGTAAGCATAAAAATGTCGATGTAGACGGCATAATCAGCCTCAACGACACACCTTACCTGAAATGGGTCGAGAAAGAGATCGACGCAGGGGCAGCGGGAAACTGCAGACTACGCCACATCTCTGCATCTAGCTGCGTTGCGACGGAGGAGGCCCAGCCAAAACACGGCCAGAGCCGTGCCATGATGCTCCCCAGGTAGCCGAGAGCCACTGTGAAGGTGCGTGGCATCCTGAGCGTCGCCGAGGACTGTGCCGATAGTGAGCCGCCCAAAGCAACCTACGAGGAGCCTGGATACGAGTGCAAGGATGTCGACAAAGAGGAGGAGGAGGAGGAGGAGGAGGAGGAGGAGGAGGAGGAGGAGGAGGAGGAGGAGGAGGAGGAGGAGGAGGAGTCAGAGGAAAAGGAGGAGGAGGAGGAGGAGGAGGAGGAGGAGGAGGAGGAGGAGGAGGAGGAGGAGGAGGAGGAGGTGGAAGAGGAGGAGGAGGAGGAAGAGGAGGAGGAGGAGGAGGAGTAGGAGGAGGAGGAGGAGCAGGAGGAGGAGGAGGAGGAGGAGGAGGAGGAGGAGGAGGAGGAGGAGGAGGAGGAGGAGGAGGAGGAGGAGGAGGAGGAGGGGGAGGAGGAGGAGGTGCCGCCCCAGTATGCGGTCCTTGTCGCGAGACGCCGAGTGAAAGAGGTGAACCCCGCTTTGCCTCGTGGGGCTGCCGGAGTCGCCGAAGTTGCAAACCGTGGTCTCCGAAGGAGTCCACGCTACTAGCAGCTGGATGCTGGTTTTTGTGGGAGGATCGCATGTTGAGCATCGGCAAGCAAGGGACCCAGTACTGGGACCGCCTTGCCGAACACCTGCGGCAGACCAACCCTCGGACGCCTAAGAGCTCGAGCTTTGATCGCCGCAGCGCGGCATGCCGTGCGGATTGGCAACGCCTGGGTGTCCTATGGGGCGACATCAAGAAGGGCGACTGCATAAGCGGCGGCACGACCATACTAAAGCCGCCGTGGTACAAGTACGTGAACCTGGTCCTGAAGGACATGGCCCGCGTAACGCCCCATATGCTCGATGGAGGAGGAGCAGAGGAGGTGACCGCAGAGCCGACAACTCACATCCTGGGCACGACTGCGAATTGCCCAAGAGCGATGCAGCAACCAACTAGTATGTGTGTAATTGTGGTTACACCTGGGCCGTATGTTGACATCCTCATCTTTATTTCCCAGCAAACATAGCAAGCCTAATCGACAACGGAAACAAGTTAAAAAAAAAACGCTACGACTAATCTCATTACGCTTTCTTCCTTTGCCGCACAGGTGCAAACGCGACGACGGGCACCCCTGCGATCCGCCGCAAGAACTTACCTGTGGTTACGCACGCTGACATAACCATGCTATGCACCACTCTATACGAATGCCACGAAAATGGCATGCAACACATAGAGGGCCTGTTCACATGGTGGATGACTGCCCATTTTGAAGGCTTGGATGACGCCCTGCGTTGCTAGCAAGGCAGGCGACGAGCCTGATAGTACCGTACTCGGGTGGCGTTCGCGAGTCCAAGCTGAGTAGCAGTGAGGCCCCTGCTAGTGCCCCCATTGTCGATGAAACGGATACCGCAGCGTTCGGATGCGCGGAAGGTACTATGGAGGAGGTGGAGGCACGGCACCGCGACGACGACGCTTCAGGTGAGCTCCATGCAGTGCCAGCCCCAACCTTTTCCTCCGCTCTTTCTATTCCACCGCCGTACCATTCGTACATGGCCCTCACTCGAAGTTCGCCATGTCACCCCTAGTCCACCAGGGGTCGAGCATAGCGAGGTAGGGATTCCAGTTCATGTTGAATGCCCGCATCCTAAGCTCGCTCATGCCCAACACCATATTGTGCAGGACCACGGCGCAAGAAGTTCCAGCAAGGACCCTCTAGAGGCGACACACATTTTGCGCCGCAAAGAGTCACCTTCTCCCATTTAAGAGCCCAATAGCCCTTTATATTGCCATCCGGGTTGCAGACTGTGCGTGCTTGAATATCTGTTGCCACTCTAGGATAAGCCGCCCCTGTGTAGCATGAAGTGGGGTGATGCAGAATTCCCGCAAGGGATACGCAACATCACCCACCAGTTGGTATAATGCTGTTTCCCCCTTGCTAGCCTCTCGTATAGTTTTGAATTTACAAAAACCCTATTGTCGTGGGCGCTTCATGGGAAGCCAATTAAATAATTCCAAATCACACCATAGGCATCGCATGTCAGTTGCCGCTGTACAGCATACTGCGATTTACGCGAGAAATAGTCCACACGATGAGCAACCCTTGATGCTTTGGAATTCGGCGCTCATTCGTGCCATGTCCGCGCGGGATGGCAATCGCACCCACTCGTGCCTAAATACCCGAGGGAAGTTTATTAAGAGCAGGTCAACAAGCATATGGCACAGCGTCTTCATTACACCCACCAACATTGTGATGTCGGCAAATATCATGCCCGATGCTAAGTACTTCACCAGAATTAGGACCGCGACTAGTGCGGGAACTAGGTAGCGCATCACCACCGGGTGTAGGACATGATATGTGCCCGCCACAATATGGTCTAGAATAGCTTTGTTGATCCTAAACGCATCCTGGAATTCATCCTCTGTCATGCTGTCCACTTCCTCGACGAAGAGATTGAGTCCTTGCCGTCGCAATCCACGTTTGCGATGGCGTATCTCTCCTCTGGCCAGCGAAGGGGCGGTGGTTTCATCGAGCCTCGTCATACGGTCAACGCGCATGATGCACGCTCGCACGGCATTCTCGAACCAGATATTGTAGTACCAGTTGTAAAACACAAGGACCAGCTGGGCCATGAAGTCTGCAGGGTCAGTTGGATCCATGGAGAACATCGCGCGTGATTTGGGGTACCACGAAATGTGTTTGTGGTGAGTGCGATAGAATCGGGCATCTGTCGGGATGCACCCTGGTTTTTTGCTCGCGCTCACATGTCTCCCTGGGTGCATTGCATTTGGAGGTTGGAGGATGGCAGACGAGCAGCTATTGGTGGCAGCACTGTCCACCTGGCATGGGCTTCTGACGATGCGCACGTGTTTAGGTTGCACATTTGGATTTCTGGGCAGCGATGTGCACTTTTCGCTTGGCCAGGCGACATTGCTCACCGTGGCCAATTGTTTCGCACGTTTAGTCGCCGAGCCCACGCTTGCGAAGCACACTTTACTGGTACTGAACATTGTCCTGTAAATCGGCAAATACAGCACGGTGTTCAAGAACAGGATTCCCTATGCTGTTACTGAACACCATAGCGTGGGCATACGCTCTAAGATTCATTGTTGTTGCTGAGCTGGCTGTGGCTAAACAAAAGGAAGCATGCCAGGTTTCAGTCAGGCAAAAAAATCTCATACTGATGTGACGACACTCACGCAGAATATGTTCCTCGTCATGCACAAGTGCGCCCGTACACACATGCATGTACCTACGCGAGACAGCCCACACACATGTGTGAGAACTCAGTCACTAACCACTGAGTTAAAAAGGCTTGTTAAGTAGCGGGTAAGTGCGCCCATAGCCCCCTAGGCTCTGCACCTATGGCCCTTCCCCGAGGATCTTCTGAAGGGTAACCCCAGTGGGTCTCTCGACACCCCCCCTCCATGGGATAGGCGGAGGGCACAAGCGCCTCTGCAACGCTAGCACTAGGAATTGAACTCAAGTCACCAACGCTCTGATACCATGTCAGAACTCAGCCACTAACCACTGAGTCAAAAGGGCTTGTCAAGTACCGGATAAGTGCGCCCATAGCTCCCAAGGCTCAGCACCTGTGGCCCTTCCCTGAGGATCTACATAAGGGTAACCCCAGCGGGTCGCTTGACAACATGTACCGTAATCACCCGAATATAGGCGCGGCCATTTATTAAGCCCAGTGGGCTTATAGAGTGCAAACGCACTTATATCCGTTATTTCATTATAAGCGTACCCTTTTTAAAAAATCTATTCCCTATAAGCGCATTGAATTACTATCGTAATCCCCTGGATATAGGTGTCAAACATATTTGTGTGTGATGTTGTAGACCATATAGGGTTGTGCCTTAGAGAGTACAGCCCCCTAGGTTATAATGCCTTGTACTCTAACATTCTAGTCATTCTTTCAGTTTGTTATGGTATCATGAGTAGGTTAGGTCCCCTTCGCCCACCAGCGCTTCCGCCGTAGGTCCTAGCCGTCTCCCCTACCCCGTCTCCTAGCGGCCCCGCGGCCCCGTCTCCTAGCGGCCTTGCGGCCCCGTTCCCTAGCGGCCCCTCGGCCCCGTCAACCAGCGGCCCCTCGGCCCCGTCGACCAGCCGCCCCGCGGCCCCGTCCCCTAGCGGCCCCGTGGCCCCGTTTCCTAGTGGCCCCTTGGCCCCGTCGACCAGCGGCCCCGAGGCCCCGTCCCCTAGCGGCCCAGCGACCCCGTCCCCTAGCGGCCCCGAGGCCCCGTCGACCAGCGGCCCCGCGGCCCCGTCCCCTAGCAGCCCCGCGGCCCCGTCCCCTAGCGACCCCTCGGCCCCGTCGACCAGCGGCCTCGCGGCCCCGTCCCCTAGCGGCCCAGCGGCCCCCTCCCCTAGCGGACCCTCGGCCCCGTCGACCAGCGGCCCCACGGCCCCGCGGCCCTGTCCCCTAGCAGCCGCATGGCCCCATCCCCTAGCGGCCCCTCGGCCCCGTCGACCAGCGGCCCCACGGCCCCGTCCCCTAGCGGCCCTGCGGCCCGTTGACCCCGTCGACCAGCAGCCCCATCCCCTAGCGGCCCTGCAGCCCCGTCCCCTAGCGGCCCTGCGGCCCCGTACCCTAGCGGCCCCTCGGCCCCGTTGACCAGCAGCCCCGTGGCCCCGTACCCTAGCGGCCCCGCGGCCGCGTCCCCTAGCGGCCCCTTGGCCCTGTCGACCCGCGGCCCCGCGGCCCCGTCCCTGTAGCCGACCCCGTCCCGTCGCCGGCCCGTTCCCCTAGCCGGCCCCGTCCTGCAGCCGGCCCCGTCCCATCACCGGCCCTGTCCCAAAGCCGAACCCGTCGCGTAGCTGATCACGCCGAGCCGACTCCGCTAGGTAGCTAGCCCCGTCACCTAGCCGACCCCATCGCCGCGTCGGCTTCGTCGCCCAGACGGCCCGCGCTGACCCCGCACCGCACTGCACCGCCCTTCACCACCCTGCACTGCACTGCACCGCACTCCAATGCCTTGCACCGCATTGCACCGCACTGTACCGCACTCTGCCGCACTGCACCGCACTGCACTGTACTGCCCTGCTCTTCTGCCGCCGCACCGACCCTGATGGCGGACTCGGTGCTGCGCTTTAACGCGGAGGGCCAGCCGGTCGAGTTCGACACGTGGCTTGTCGACCTCCGCCGTCACCTCACTGGTCAGCGGCAGGACGGCCACTCATTGGCCGTCCACCTCGACGATACGCTCCCCTGCCCTGACCCCTATGCTGCCCTGCCCGCTGACCCCTTGTCTGCTGACCGTGAGTCCGCTGCCGCTGCCGCCCTTGCCTGCTCAGTCTGGCTGTCGCGTAACGCAGTCGTACAGCTCGCGATCAGTCATGCCCTCCCCCTTTCTGAGCGCCCACGGTTTTGGTCAGTCAGGACTGCGCAGGAGTTCCTCGAGGCTTTTGTCGCGCGCTAATCCACCCCACTAGTTGCCTCAGTTGGTCGTCTGATCCTGCCCATGCTCTTTCCCGATCTCGCGTCTTTCCCTACGGTCGCTGACCTCGCCGCCCATCCGCGCACGCTAGATGCGATTTGGCATGCTGCTTGCACTGAGTCCCAGCTTCATCTCTTTCGACCACCCATCTGCTCTACCCTTTACCTGCTTGCCAGACGCCTTCCTGACCGCCTTGCTACTGCCCGCGATCACTTCCTTAATCTACACCCCTCTAACCTCACCCTCACTGACTTTGTCGACACTCGGTCTGCCATAGACCCGCCAATGCTCTATCGCCCAGTCTAGCGTTACAGTGCTGGTCACTATCTTTCAGGGTTGTGCCCTCGCTCAGTGTACTTTCTCTGCCGGTTCTGCTGCTCTCGCTGAGACAGCGCCTGCTGTGGCGGCAGCCGCCGCCGCGCAGTTCCGTTTGGGGAAGGGTCGTCGCCCCAAGGATGGGCGCGGTGGCGGTGGAGGAGGTGGTGAAGCCAGGCCGCCCGCTAGTAGTACGGACGAGGGGACTAGGGCTGGTTCCTCCGAGCAGCAGGACCAGCAGAAGCAGCAGCAGCAGCAAGCGCCGCAACAGCAGCCGCAGCAGCAGCAGCAGCAGCGACAGGCTGGTAGTCTCCCGCCCGGGTGGCCTGTCGCTGGTGGTGGCGGTGGACGTGGTGGTCGTGCGTGCAGTGTGCCGCCTGGTGGTTGTTCGGGTGATGGGCACTATCAGTACCAGCTCCAGACCGGTCCTTGCCGCGAATCCTTGTGCGGTAAGATCGGCCACACCCCCGCCCGCTGTTTTCGTCGCCTGGTTGTCCTGTTTCGTCTTCGCCTCGGCCCGTCGCCCGACCTCCCCGACTGGCAAAGCTTGCTTTGCCGTTGCGTTCAGATTTTTGATATGGACATGGATGAGATTAGCTCTGCTTTTTATGTGCTCTATGTCGATGACTCTAGTATGACTCGTTCCCACTACCCCTTGTTGCCTAGTGTAGGTGTGCCTAGTTCGGCCTCCTCTGCTGCGTCAGGCGTAGGACCCTTTGCCTTGTTTAGTCTTGGCTCCTCCCTCGCCACTCCGACCCTGGCCGCCACTGCTGTGCTCTCCTTTACCCTGGACTCCACTGCATATCTTGGTGTTTCTTTCGCGACTCCACTACGCTGACGCCGCTTGCCGCTCACGACGCAGTTTCTTTTGCGGACCCCTCCTCAGGTTCAGTGGTCGCCTAAAGCTCCACCACCCTTCTTTGTCCGGCGGTTCCTTCAGGCTCTCTTACAGGCCTGCACATACCCTCGTTCTCTAGGAACCTAGTTGGTGTCGGTTGCCTCCAGGACCTTGGCGTCACCACTACGTTTCCTGGTCATGAGCGGTACACTGTCTATACCGAGGCGGTACGGTGTCTGGCCTGTTCACGCTGGACACCGCCCCCCCCC